TTCTGGATGAAACGGTGCTGGATTTATTTTCTCCCCTCAACCAGGTCAAATATTGTCTGACATAGAACACATACATATATAAGGAAAATGAAGACATAACAATCTACAAAAATAGTCCGTTTCGTGTTTAATTTCTCACAGTCATGCCAAGTACTGGCACACATGTATGTATTAGTCAGGAAAAATATTTAGAACTTGTCGGCTTTGATTTGCAATACGACAATTATTTCACGCTTATTTCAGTAGCAAAGTTTGATATCAGGATAGTGGGTGATTTCGTGTCTTCATCCACGTATTGGGCAAGGCGTGAAAATAGAAATCTCGAAATTGGACAAGATTAATATTTTCATTCAAAAGCTTTACAAAGTATCCTATTCTGCTTGTGGACCGATGTGTAATTGTTTGTAAAAACGAATCCAAATACCGATCTTCTAGCATTTCCTATATAGTCGACTTATGAGATGATGTAATACTTATATGTACGTAGATGTACAAAATTCAATAATTGAACGTATGGTTTTTAAACAGGAAAAAATTTGTTTATATGTGTTGCAATGTTCAATTTCCATCCGTGTGTGTATATGTATGTGTGTGTGCGTGCGTGTGTGTGATTGATTTGTTTTCTTTAAGTATCATTAAATATTTTTCAGTCATGTCACTACGGTGTCTGCAGTATGGAGGTTTATGGGTGAAGTGATGTGATTATGACTTTTAACGTAGCTTTAACAATTTTTCAATCATATCGCTACGAGGTCTGCAGTTTGGCAGTTAATAGTGATGTCTAGCACTTGGGTATCATGCCGCAGACATGTGACGTGATGTTCCACCCAGTCACATTATCCTGACACCAGGCCGACCAGTCCTAACACTAGCCTTTTAATGCTGAACGTCAAGCGAGGCAGCTTTTAGTACGATTTTTGTAAGTCTTTGGTATGACTCGACCGTGGATCGAACCCACGTCCTCCCGCATCCGAGGTCACCGGAGCGGTATATGGAGATTTTTAGTGATGCCTAATACTGGGGCATTATGCTTCAGAAATGTGGCATGTTGTCCCACCCAGTCACATTATCTTGACACCAGGCCGACCAATCCAAACGCTACCCTCTTAATGCTGAGCGCCTAGCGAAGCAGCTGTGTCTTTGATATGACTCGGCCTGTGTTTAAGCTGGCAGGAAATATTTTATCCAATATACTTCAGAACTGATGTATTTTCTTGCCTGTCTTGCACATCTACCTGAATAAAGGATGTGTTTTTAAATCTCCTATATGGCAAACTCGCTGACTTTTCATTATACCATATATAATTTTTAAACAATTCACGTTGGAAGCGCTTTTACCTAAATTCTAAACATTTTACCACAATTTACAGAAAATATATAGGTCTGGTAAAAATTCGTACAATCTTATAGTGTTAACACGCAAACATTGTGCGACACACGCAAAAGGGCGTTTAGAAACAGCAAGCGGAGAATCAGGTCACATTTTACATGCAAGGTAATTGATCATCTGTACGTTACGTATAGTCAGTATAAATCGTAGTTCACAGTTTAATTGCTCGAGCGCGACATGGGCAATAACTTGGGAGCACTTACGGTAAGGCTTCATAATTTGCTGCCCTTGGATCATTTTCTCAGTTTGAACAACATGCACAAAATATTGGAACTGATTGGACAGCGGTTTTCGGAACATTGTTTGGGCAAAACATATATAGTGTTTACCCTATCTGATTTTATTAAATAGTCATTTTTATTGCATACATAAGCGTGAAATATATAAATATATTGGCGAAAGAATGTTCTGCTTTTTTCATTCATATATTGTAAAAGGTATATCTTTGTATTTTCACGTGAAAACATACGATATCACCATCATGACATGCTACGATTGATTTTTATGCCTGCAAAAGTTATACCTGCAGCAACGAAAAATAGCCTTTTGTCTGCTAGAACAGATAAATATAGACTGCATCACATTTCATACGTGGAAATTAATTTTTCTGTGAACATTTGAGTCGAAACTCTTGGCTTGTCTCTCTGAAGTTATTTCCCCTTACTTCCTTGACAATAACTGCAAACCCATTGTGATATATTCTTGAATCGAACTTTGCTTTGTTTTCAGACAGAATTTTTATATAATCAATGAAAGTAAAGTAAATTAACGAAAAGGGGTGGATGTTTTTACTAAAGAGTGAGTTAAATCTTCTAAACTTCGATTGTGGAGAATGTGTGGTATATAATAATTAAAAAAAGAAAATTTCTTTTTCGATATAGCTACCCGATAAAATTTATCTTGTGGTACTAACTTGCGGTAGAAAAGACAATATATTTTAATAAATGGATGCGCCATGAGTGAACATAAAAAGTCGATGAACTGCACGTTGAAATACATCCGGTATTAACGCAGGAAAACTAAATATTATCTATTGATTGACTTCATAAATACAAATATGTGGGTCTCTGCAGTTTACCTGCAACAACCAGTAGAACAAACAACCGCTCCGGTGGCTTAGTGGTTAGAGCGCCCGCCTCGGATGTGAGAGGTCGTGGGTTCAACCCTTGGTCGAGTCATACCATAGACTTACAAAAATGGTACTAACAGCTGCCTCGCTTGACGCTCAGCATTAAGAGGTTAGTGTTAGGACTGGTCAGTCTGATGTCAGGATAATGTAACTGGGTAGGACATCATGCTACATGTCTGCGGCATGATGCCCCAGTGATAGACATCACTATAAACTGCCACACTGCAGACATCGTAGCAATATGACTGAAAAAAATTTTAAAGCTAAAAATTATAAACACCACACCACACCACAAACCACATAGACGAAGTTTTTCCGGAGCATTATGTGACAGCAGATCGGGATTTCTATTGCTTGCAGTCGGACTTGACTTATACGCGAGTATATACGGAATTCTCAGCTACTGTGCATGATTATTTTCAAAATATTGCTGATTGATGAAATATGACTGGAGATGTTTAACTGTGGCTTAACGTTTAGATGAAGGTAAGCTCGTAGAGACAATGAAACCTTTTGGTATATGTCACATGCATTTCTGACTAAACATTTGCCTATATGAATGCACAGACTGTGTCGATAAATTTGGTGAAACAGAAAAGCAACTCAGAAAGAAGACTCGTGTTCCATTCTAAGCGATTTGAACATATAAAACGTTAATTACCATTATGCACAATATATGCTGCATTTCAAATTTAACAAAATGGGAAACCTGCACGATTATTATTACATGAAATATGCAATAATGTTAGGTGACATACATTTTGGAGTTCAGAAAATGTTGTGTGAGACACTGCAAATTTGATCCATTACATTATTACAGTACACCAGGACTACTTCATAGTGACAGGAATAGTTCATCATGTCAGGAATAGTTCATCAAGTCAGGACTACTTTATCAAGTCAAGAATAGTTCATCAAGTTCTCATGTACGTTTAAAGAAAACTGGTATTAACTTAAACGTTTCGAAAGAGTACGCCAAGTTGCCGAGTACTAAAATGGGGAATTACAGGTGGTTTTAACATAATTCTATAAGCATGATAAAGTAGGTCACGAGTTCCCTTGCAGTCATAGATGTCTAGACAAAAAAGATGCAGAAACGGGAGGAGTTGAAATGTAGATTTACCGATATCATCTGCAGGAACATTGCACGAATTATCTCTTTGGTCCAGGCAACTTATTTCTGTTGGAAAATTATTTATCTTCGTTGCCAACAAAATTATTAAGTTATAACAAGGGTATGAGACCAGCTGTGACTAAGTTATTGTGTACGTTAAAACAAGAAATAATAAGTCATATTTTACATTAACTTATAGCAGCTGGGTCTAAAACTGAAAACGATATACAGATTTATTTTGAACTGTAGTCTTTGTTAAAGACATACATTAAATATCAGTTTGAGAGAAATAAAGCTTCTGGTGATTTAGAAAAGGGCTTCTTTAAACTGATAAACTATTTAGTATTTGGAAATAAAATAGAAAATTGTACTTGTCAGTCGGAAATATAAACTGACCTGTTCAACCAAACATGTCTTCAGAATTTTACGGCGCTAGTGATTATAGTCGTTCACGCACGAAATTTACTGTATTAAGTTGCAAAGAAAGTTGAATAACTGTGAAACTTTGCTTTATACAAATACATATTCATTGTGCATTCAAGTTAATGAAATATCTTTTAAAACAATTTGAAATCCGAGATAAAGTTTTATCACGTCGCTGCAAAGGAATATGGTTTTCATTAAAGCTTTTACGACATTAGTAACTCTCTTAAGGGTAGCATATAAGACATCCTTCAAGTCAGCAAAAACATCCCGGTACTACGAAAGACAACATCCACCTGCATTCGAAAGATTATTGACTATTCAGAACGAAAGAGAATCAAAGGTATGTGTATATATTTTAAACGTAGTCAACAGCAAATTAAAAAATCAAAATAAAAGCTGTTTTACAAGATCAGTAGGAATGAATTGAGATAGTTAAAGCTCAAGTAGCTGCATATCTAAAATAACAGTTTAAAATAAAAATATTGAAAATTCAATTCAACAGCGAGAACAAATTCTTCGTAAGTTTAAATGCTGAAGCACTGTACAAGAGCGGTAAATGCTATTTGACTATATGAACGGTTGCTTCAAATTTGTAAGGATTGCTGCTTTTCCAATTCTTTCTTAACCTATTGCTCAACTCCACCTAATCCAGGTGTATCATCAGAGATGACTTCAAACAATTAGCTGATTAAATGTTTCGTTTAAGCAAAAAAAAAAAAAAAAAAAACGAAGAAAAAAAAAAAGAAAAGCAGCATCGCTAATTGCTATCAATGGTAGTGTGATAAGTTCATTACTTAGGAGTGCTGGACACCTGGTTTTATTTCCTCTTTAGCACGTTTTGTTACTTGTCCTCGCAGTAGGCTTGTTACTTAAAATTTCAGGTAAATATGTCAACAAGGCACAAGCCACAGTCAGAGGTTCTCCGTCATTAACGAAAAATGTCTCACAAAGGATGGTCAACGTAGTTCAGTTTTTACTCAAAAATATGTGAATTGTTTCTAAAAGTAAATCTAATTAGCTGTAACAACCTTCAGTGTCAAAATAAATCGCTATTTATTTCAGGGTCAGTATTGTTTTGGGCTCTAATTGGCATGACTCATCGTGTTGGTGGCAAGGTGCATCAAAGGTACTTTGAATTTTCGAGTACGTGTTGAATTTATACGTGTAGTTTTAGTACGTCGATTATGTTTCGTACCAAGAAATCAAATCTTTTTGTGCTTTGACTTTGTGGGACCGCATATCTAGCATTTATTGGTGTAGTCAAGTTTCAACATTACACAGTATTTTTATGAACAAGATTCTCTGAGAGAATGAACAAATCTGATAGTAAGACTACGGTGTGCATGGATCTTATTTTCTACATAACCAAGTTACTTTTTTGTATTCTACAGCTTTTTGTTGTACAGGCTCAGATTGTTTCTCAATTTTTTTTAAACCCGATCTTCGTTATCCAGAGTTATGGTGCAAAAGTTTGTAGAATAATTTCACAATAGATTCTGTCGTGGTCACGTTGACAAGTAACCATTATTATTGATGTATGGAATAGCATCGCAATCAATTCAGTAGCTAGCGACGGTTAACCTCTCTTGTTTGGAAGCATGAGTGGATTTTAATTAAAATTCGCCCTGTTAACAGTTAGAGATTATAATGTGTCGAATTTAGAATAAGTATGGAACCTTAAAACGTGTTCATACAAAAAAAAAATTGTAGTGGAAAGGGTAAACAAAACAGTGGAGATATTTCACTCCAAATGAATCAGATGTAATTTTTTTATTATTTTTTAAAAGTTATTTTGTAAAACTAAACCACCTTGTTTCTTTATATTCAGATTGACATTTTCATGCTAAACGTATTGAAAATTTAATTTATGCATTCGAAACCTGTTGAATTTATCAGAGTAGTTTTAGTACGTCAATTATGTTTCGTAGCAAGAAATCAAATTATTTTGTGCTCTGACTTTGTGGGACCGCATATCTAGCATTTAATGGTGTAGTCAAGTTTCAACATTACACGGTATTTTGATGTACAAATCTTAACAATAAGGTTTTATTAGTAAATGATCTCACATTCATATTTACAGTGTAGGGTACTTGTATGGAATAGATGGAAGTGTGAGCATTTTGAATGAACCATTCCAGCATTTTGTTTGATTTGCTTTGCATACGCGACAGTCCATGGAAAATGGTTAGACTCACTCACAATAAATAAAATAAAATTTTAACACTTTGATTCTTTCTCTTTAAAAAGCATATAGCGACATAAACTTATTTTCTATAAAAAAATAATGTCATTTTCAAGACGCGTGCATTTTTTTTTCTTTATCGGACTTGATAAATTTGTCGAAGAGTCACCAATCCTCCTTTCCCTGCTTTAGAAATTACAAAATATTTTATTTGGATTATAAAGTTGAGATTTTGTGTCAACCAATCAAAATCGACTTTGCATATTGCATTATAGATGGCTCAATTCTGACAGCCACGGTGCAAAATCTAAATTTCAAACTCAAGTAGTTTTTAACTATCTGATCGGCGGTACTGTTCTGAACATTTATGACGTTATTTTTGGTAAAAATATGTTTTATATTTATGTTAACGATTTTCATGACACTTACGCTTTAGTATTTTTTTTTCTTCAGATTAAACCTTAATTTGTGTGTTGATCCTGTATTTTAATTGTGTGCGCGATGAACGTGTAAAGGAAAATAACCAGCACATGCATTTTAATAAGAAAGTAAGAGTTGTGTCCCATGACGTTTCATTTAACACGATACTTTGTAATGATGAGGACGTTGTAATCACTATGGATCTTCCCGCTATGACTTTACACCAACACAACAGAAACTGAGGAGTACCTAGATTACATTATTATAAATAGACACGAATTTTTAATCAAGCTCTTAAAGGACAAGAAGTTTAATTGTTTGATTAGTTTCATTAACTTTATCCACAATTTTGCAAAGTACATATGATTCACATCAATTTAACAGTTAAACACTAACATATTTAGTTGAAAAGTTGAAATTACTCACTTATAACATCAGTGACCACATACTATCACTATGGTTTAAAAAGGAGACCGTAATGGTGTGAAGGCAGATGTTATGTTGAAATGTCTGTAATTGTCAATTAAGTGTTGGAGACTATATTATTATTATTATTATTATTATTATTATTATTATTATTATTATTATTATTATTAATATTATTATTATTATTATTATTATTATTATTATTATTATTATTATTATTATTATTATTATTATTATTATTATTATTATTATTATTATTTTGAAAATGTTTTTGACATAGATGATAGCAGCTTAAGTTATCATAAATAATTTTCCTGCGAAATGGGGGATGTTTGGGTTAATCAAAGGGTGCGAAATGTGAACCTCTTTTTCATTATTTTCAAACGTTATAAAAATTTTTCTACAATAACTAAATGGAGAGCTAATTTCAAAGGATAGATTACAATTCTATAAAAAAACAAACATTAATTAGGAGGATGTCAATACTACACA